CGTAAACTACACAAGATATGGGCATTTTTTTCAGATAACAGATCCTCCACTTTTTCACTTCCTGACCTCCAGCCGAACTTTGCGCTCTGGCACTGCGTCCTGACATCACGTGAAACCCTACTATTTAATTTTTTTTTATGTCTAAATTAAAAATTTTACTTGAAGTACTGGTTATAGCATCCACTTTGTTTTGATATTGTTGAAAATTTGAGAAATGTTTGTTTGTTAATGAAACCGTTTTGCAATAAATATAAAACATTKTTTTGTACTTCTGTTATGTTCATTTAAACTACAGCAAAAATGCTGGGTTTGATTATGATTACAGTTTTCTACAAAATAAATGCTCTAAAAATTACATTATCTTTGCTTTTTATGATCATTTTCCACCGCGATATATACTGCTACCGTGAAGGGATTCATTTTATACCGTGATATGAATTTGAGGTCATACCGCCCAGCTCTACATTAATACGTTTTAGTACCTGTGAGTCGTGTGTCTCTTCTTCTTCGTCAGGTCTAGATGAGTAGGCTTCATTCCTCCTCTCCTCTATCACCTTCTTCATCACCTTCAGCTCACTAGGGTGTGGTGTGGCTCTGCGCTGGAGGCCCTGAAAAACAACTTATGTCAATAATAGACAATAATCTTTGAATAAAATAAAATTTCTTGGACTGTTTTATGCACGGTAATTTAGCTCAACATTATGACAAACGAGGAGCAGTCATGATGATGGAGTGAACTGTTTAAAAATAACAACGTCAAAGTTGTAGTTCCTCACTCTGCGATCTTCATCATCATCTTCCTCTTCGGCCTTGGTCTCTTCCTGGAACTGAATGACTGAAACTCTGTTCAGATTGCTGTCTGTCCAACTGTCGTCCCTGCTGTTCTGCAGCAAATTCTCTGTGGAGAACAATTGAAAAGGGAAGGATGTAAAGTGGGCAAACAGAAGCATTAAAATTAATTAATTCTAATATTTTTCTAATATCATCTCTGATTTTAACCAAAGTTCTTACAAGTCAAAACACAGATCACTAGACAGCAAGGAACAGAATAAAAACAGCTAAATTCTTGAAGATGAAGCTCACCCAGACTTGGTGAAGGCTGCTGAGGCAGCAAATAGCAGGTCAACACTTTCTCTCCTGTTCGCTCATCATCTTCAGTCTGGAACTTCAGCATGGGCTGTGACTGGTTCTCTGCCAGCCACATGGCCTTCAGGTTGAGGTTTGTCAGGGCAAAAGGCAGGTTTTGTAATCTGGGTGAAAGCGGGGACATATAAAATGAACCTGAACCTTGTCTTTAGAGGAACTAAATGTGATCTGCATGAATCTATATTAATGACAGAACTTAAACAAGTTTAAAGACTTTGTAATGGATCATTTGGAATATTTAAAACCATTTAAAACACCAGAAAAATCACAGTAACACAACCTTAGCAGTAAAAGTTGTCGTATGTTATAAGAAAGATGAGGCTGTTAGGTGAGGGTACCTGTTTCCAGCCACATCCAGAACATGCAGCTCAGTTGCATCTGCGAGCTCGCAGGGCAGCTTGCCCAGGCGGTTGTCTCTCAGAGAGAGGACGTTGAGGCTGGCGCAGCCCCCCAGCTCTTTGGGCACGCTGCTCAGGCGGTTTCGGTCTACATTCAGGTTCGTCAACTTCTTCAGCTTGCCCAGCGAGCGAGGAAGTGACTGTGAGGAAGGAAGGGAGGGAGAAAAGACGACATTAATAATTAGCAAAATGAAAAACAACAACTTTTTACTTTTCCTAATGAAACCTGGACAATAAATCTTAATTTGAAGACGGTCAGTGTGAATGTCTGTACCTGTAAAAGATTTTCTGTTAGAACAAGTTCTGTGAGGTTTTCACACTCTCCTATTGAGTCAGTCAGGTGGGTCAGACGGTTCTGGTCCACCTTCAGGATTGACAGCTGTTTCAGAAAACCTGGAGACAAAACAAATAAAAAACACATTCAGAAATTGAAATAAACCTTCTTTTCCAGGATTAAAACTTTTGTCTAACACTCTTAAGTGATGTCTTTTAAAATAAACTGAAGTCAAATTCAGATTTGTCATTAAGTATTTTCGTCCAGCAGAGGGCAGCATCACTTCTGTTTAACTGAAGTTGACTTTGGCACAAGAAGCTTGGGTCAGTGTTTTCTTAATCAACACTTCATAGATTCCAGACATATTTTTGGAYGAAAAATATACACTCTGAAAATAAAAGCGTGAAACCGCTTCTCTTTACAGCTCAGAAACTCCACATTACAAACCAAAGCTGGTGTTATTTTTACTGAAGCAACAGTCTTAAAGAGGAGTGACAGTTCAACAGGCTGGACTCTTTCCAAGTTATTTGACTTTTACACAATGTTCTTCTAATCCCGCTTCTCTCTCAGCAGGTTCTTCTCACCGATACTGTCTGGAATGACTTCAAGCAGGTTCTGAGTGAGCAGCAGGTCGGTGAGAGCCAGGAGGCCGCTCAGCTCTGAAGGAAGCTCCTCCAGACGGTTCTCTGAGACATCCAGACAAACCAACCGCCGCAGGTTTCCCAACTCCTAAACGCACAGAAAACAATGTTCATACCAAGCCGCAACACAATTATTATCTTACTATTAAAGCAAAGAGGAAAATGTGTTTGTAAAGGGCACGTTTGTTGAAGCTACACTTACTGGTGGTAATGAAGACAACTGGTTCCGGTCTAACCACAGCTCCCTCAGGTTGGGCAGAGCACCAAGTGTGTCCGGCTAAACGACAAGATAAAATATGYGAGAGAGGAGGAAAATAAACAAGAGCACACACGAAGAGTTCAGCAACATCTGGAGCAAAATTAAGCAAATCACACCCGAGAGCCAGATTGTTTGATGAAAACAAAGTGTGAGCCAAAAACCACACATTCTGTCGATGAATTTTATAACAACTCGTTTGAGAAGAGGGGAAAAAACTGCCAGCTCTCTTTAAAATGCTCAGAGATTATTCTTTGTTGTGAACTGGAGAGAGTCCAGCTGGACACTCCTCTATCTTTTGTTACAGCGTTCAGCACATATTTCAGGAAGCACGTTAGGTTAAATGGTCAAATCTAAGTCGAAACAAATGTCTGTACTTGAAGAGATGAAAGGAGAATGTAGACGCTAGTTTGTGACAAGCATGTGAATGAGCCTTCATCATGGTGTCACTGTTTGGACAGTGTCCATCCTCTGTCAACTTTGCATATATTTGTTCACCCTGACCCGGGGAGACGGGTGGGCGTARCTGAGATAAAAGCAGATCGTAATCACAGTAGTGCGATACTTACAATACACGTGTGCCACTCTGATGGCACAAATATGAAATGTAAAGGGGTTTGTTGGCCCACTTAGTGACTAGGGCTGGGAGATATGGCCTAAAATCAATATCACGATATATTGACCAGTTTACCTCGATAACGATAAATGTACGATAACCCTTTTACCACCCACCACACACACACACGCACACACAAGTACACGGTATAGTATAGTCATAATACTACACACTGTGTTCATGTTTTTAATCAAAGTTCACAGTTTAGATTTTGAACAGCTTTTATGTAGTTTATATTTGTCATTTTAGTGTMTTTAATATATTTAATAAACATTTTTGGCAAGACTTGAGTCAGATATAGTCATACAATTATTTAACCATCTCCATAAATTTTCAGTGCAAACACACACATTATGTATGTACTATAATTTTATACTAAAAAATATATACCAAATGTGTATTTTGTACTTCACAAAATAACTTCGTTTTATGTTAGACTGACTGATTTATCTATTAAAATAACTATTTCTTTCAAAAAGATTATATTATTTAGAGAGCTCATTTAATACTATTTATTCTTCATATTTGACCATTCATTGAATCACAGAGCAGTTCAGTCACAGTATGACTCTAAACATGAGATAAGCTACAAAAAATAAACTACAAAAAGAACATAGCGGGTTTTTTTGCTTTTGATTTTTTGCGGGATGGGGGGGCCTATCGCTAAGGGGAGACTCATCTTTTCTATACTGGAGCAAAGTGTTCAACTGAGTGAATATTTTGGAAGAGTAGRGGCTCTCACAGAACTCAGCCTCTGCGCACCTCGAGGCGCTCCTGTAACAGCGCTGTCGAGGAGAGGAGTTTGGTCCCGTGAGCAAAGTTGGACATATCTATCCGTTAGATAACGAAGCTCTGAACACTTAAACTTATAGTGTGTTAAATTTTAGATACCAACGTCTCTGGTAGCTCGGGAGCGAAGTGTGAAGGATGGGGTTTGCTCACTCAGGACAGGAGCTGAAGGCTGACTGGTGTTCATACTGGTGTTCATCCTGCAGACTGCTGCACGAGATGTGACGTTCGCGAACGATCCGAATCTTTTGAACGGCTCTTTACAACAAACGATAGGAGCCGAATCGCGGGCAGTAATGAGCCATTTGCAGTTTTATTTATTTTATTCTTCATATAATCTTTATTTTTTCCATATTTAAATCGCTCCTGCTTTGCTTTTTCATGGAAAACAGGCAGAGTTGTGGAGTACAGAAGCTCACGGTGAAAGGGGGAGGGGGGTTTCCGCTTGACAAACACATGGATCCACCCACGTGACAGGATGATGTCATTATGTACGGCTACGTGATGACGTGCTTCCCTACYTGATGATGTAATACGTTCAAAATCGAACGGCTATTATGAACGGCTCTATGAAACAAACGGCTCCCCAAGATCCGGATCCTTTCAAAGAGCCATTTATCCCATCTCTAGAGTCGACATCAGAAAGACCTGCCCTGCTCTGCTCTGATTGGATAAAGCCATGGGGTACGTTTGATTTGTTGAAAGCAGCGTCTGTTTAAACATGTATCAGACTGGGCTGCCCAGTTTTCTGTTGTGGTCTCGCAACTGAAAACAAGCAGGTTCTCCGACATGGGTAGAATGACGTCAGTCATGAAATTAGCATATCATGATAMTATTTATTTTCCKGGGCAAGTTATTTTACCGGTATTATTGTGAACGATATGATATGGCCCAGCCCTATTAGTGACACAATGTGTTATTTACTGTGCACTGAATAAATAAAGCAGATAAGATGTTCACAAACCAAAACTTCCAGTTCATTGCTGCCAAGGTCCAGCTGTTCCAGTTTCACCAGGAAAGAGAGCGACCTGAACATYAAATAGCACAAGCATTTATATCGCACCAGTTTCTAATCTGAAAGAACAAAGAGTCAAGCTTTGCACAAGATAAAAGCATCCCATTCATTCACTTGTAATGATACAAACACAGATTGCCTTTAAACATATTCTGCTAAAGATAATTAAAAGGCTTCTGTCACCATTTTACATTTRTTTATTTTAAAAAAAGTTAATGTTTTACTTGGAATTTGTTTTTATTAGTTTAGTCAGTTTGAAATCAGAGGTGTAAAGTAACTTTATTTATCCAAGTTATGTCAAGTGGTTCAACTTAARTGAGTTGAGTAAATGTAAAGTCATTTACATGAAAAAGGGCATTTATTTATTTCAGCAGAACCATAATTACAGGCTACACTGGAAGTGCATGACGGCTCAGTGGTTAGCACCGATGCCTCGCAGCAAGAAGGTCCTGGGTTCGATCCCCGGTTCGGACCTGGGGTCTTTCTGTGCGGAGTTTGCATGTTCTCCCTGTGCTTGTGTGGGTTTTCACCGGGTGCTCTGTTTTCTCCCACCCCCCCAAAACGTACAATAGGCTGCCTTCAGGCCCAGGCCTCCCTTGAAAAAGAAATCCGAGATCTCAACAGGACTTGCCTGATTAAATAACGGTAAGTAAATAAATAAATAAATAAATAAAGTGTTATGGCTAGCTGCTGCTACTGTTATTTGTGCAAATAACCACAGAAATCTTTAATTATGTGAGATGAAAATAACTGTGATGGCAGCAATTCACTTTAAACCATTTATACAAACAGGTACTAACTGTACATAGTTTCCAGAATTTCCCATTTCTAAAGATCTGCTTTACAAGCTAACGGTAAGCACAGCAGGGATGACTCCAATATTAATACTTGTCGATGAAGACTGAACAATGAGAAAACCAAACCCTGTTCATGTCCATCGAGCAGATTTGACACTTACGTAGGCAGAGACTTCAACAGGTTCTCCCTGAGCTCCAGRGTCACCAAGTTGGCCAGACTGGAGGAGGAGCGGCAGAGAAAATGAGGCAGGGGGAGAGGGAGTTGGCGAGAGGCGAAAGGGGAGGAGCAGAAAGGAGAGGCATGTTGGTTAGTCAGATGGCAGATCTGGCTGTCTGGGCTGCCTGGCATGGTAAGGGGCTCTTCCATCTGTCTCAAAACGCCAGTGCCCCCCCACCAGAACCAAGCTGCTTCAGAGCCCACCGTGTAACAGAATCACACAAACCAGTACAGATTCTCAGTGTATCGGTGCTCCGAGTCTGGTGTGGTGGGCTAGAGTAACAACTCAGTTATGAGAGTTTAACACTATTAGGTTTGCAAAACAAGTATCTTTTAAATATATCGAAAATCATGTTTTCTCTTATGTAGTTTACTATGAGCCACTGATGTATACATACTTTCCAATGTCACTGGGCAACGTCTGCAACGTCACATCATTGAGGGAAAGGTGAGCCAACGCTCGGAGCTGAGTGAAACCATCTGGCAATCTGAAGCAGAAAGAAAGGAGATATTCTCAGGCTTTAGTTGTAAAACTCATTAAATAATTTATACCTAGATAACCCTTACATATTCAAACATCTGTAAATTATTTGTCCAGTAAAGAAAACGTATAAGAAGACAATAAAACTAGATACCGCATAGCGGTAACATAATGACCCCCGCACGCAGAAATGCACCGGAACTCAGAAGTCTTTATTCCAAATAAATGTTATGGGACTAGGTGGCATTGGTTGACCTGATGGATAGCCCCTCATCAGAGCTAAACAACCAAAGAAAATATGAAGCTCCTATGCTTAATAGTTTTTGAGCAATAACCATTTTTGTATGTCCAGACACCACTTTTTCAGGTAAATTGGGGGTCCGGGGTAGTGGGGGGCACTGATTGGTGGGCCTGATGGATAGAGCTTCATCAGAGCTAAACAACCAAAGAAAATTTGAAGCTCCTATAGTTTTTGAGCAATAACCATTTTTGTATGTCCAGACACCACTTTTTCAGGTAAATTGGGGGTCCGGGGTAGTGGGGGGCACTGATTGGTGGGCCTGATGGATAGAGCTTCATCAGAGCTAAACAACCAAAGAAAATTTGAAGCTCCTATAGTTTTTGAGCAATAACCATTTTTGTATGTCCAGACACCACTTTTTCAGGTAAATTGGGGGTCCGGGGTAGTGGGGGGCACTGATTGGTGGGCCTGATGGATAGAGCTTCATCAGAGCTAAACAACCAAAGAA